ATGAGTTGCTGGCGACGGCATAGGCTGCAGCCACTGCTGTAGTGGGTTGCTATGGGCTACCATGTGTAGCCAGCAGCCGCTGTGAGCGGCCATCCAGAAGCCGGCAACTGATCTGCCTCGCCCGGGAAGAGCACAATGATGGTGCCAACTTGGGCCAGTGAAGCAACGTCCTCCACAACTAGATTGAAGAATAAAAGAACAGCAACTTGTCTGTTCCCCTTCCCCTAATGCCCCAATAAAAATCTTTAAAAAAAAAAAAAGAATGCCCTTTAGAAAGAATGGTGCTTGATTAGGATGCCAGAAAGGGTGTTTCTTGTCTTCAGATCGCAATGTGCTTTTTAGAAAAGTGTTAAAAATACTAAGTCTTATTCTTTTCCCCCCTCTTTCTTTCTTTCTTTCTTTCTTTCTTTCTTTCTTTCTTTCTTTCTTTCTTTCTTTCTTTTATAATTGTTCTTAGTATATATTCTTCCAACTTCCACGCAGTGAAGAGGGAATCAGATGGAACTCCTGGGGATCTTGGGAGTTTGGAGAACGAGAGGCAGATTTATAAAAGCGTCTTGGAAGGTGGAGACATCCCTCTCCAGGGCCTCAGTGGGCTCAAGCGACCATCCAGCTCAGCCTCCACTAAAGGTAACGGAGTCAAGCCTGCAGGCCTCTCGCCCATCCACACCGTTATCGGGGTGCCTCCTGTCCATCTACACTATTATCGGGGTGTTGGCAGCAGGTGAACCTGTACCTACTGGGATACGTTTTGCCTTGTACACACCCAGTTCCAGGCCTTTGAGCTTTCTTATGTCCCCTCCCTAGTTTCTCACCGGCCATTTTTCTTTCTGGTGTTAATAGTTTCCCTTCCTTTAATCCCCAACCGTGCTCTCCCTGAAGCATCTCTCTCTCTCTTTCTCTCTCTCTTTCATTTTTGTTCTGATTCCCTTTTCTTAGAAATTAGCTGAACTTTTTAGCCTTTTCTAACTCTAGCAAGGTGGCCATTTTTTCGTTGCATCTTTGCACCTGCTTTGCAACACAGATTATTTTGCTTCTGGACATCGACTGGAAAAAAAAAAAAAAAAAAAAAAAAAGCCTTTTTGACAAATAAGCATGTTACCTCCCCTTTATTTATTTATTTATTTTTTAGCAGCTTCCAGCTTTAACCTAATGGGTCTGTTTATTTTATTCTGCATGCTTTCCAGTGGATCGTAAAGGTGGGAATGCTCACATGATTTCTTCATCTTCAGTTCATAGCCGAACCGTTAACCCTAGCAATGCGTTAGGCCCTGTGTGTAAGCACAAGAAACCCCTGTCCGCCGCGAAAGCCTGCATTTCCGAAATCCTTCCCTCCAAGTTCAAACCCAGGCTCTCTGCTCCCAGCGCTCTCTTGCAGGAACAGAAGAGTGTCCTGTTGCCATCGGAAAAGGCTCAGAGCTGTGAGAATCTTTGCGTTTCGGTTTCTTTGAATGATTCCAAGAGAGGCCTCCCGCTCCAAGTGGGGGGCAGCATCGAGAACCTGTTCATGCGTTCCCGGCGGGATTATGACAGCAAGTCGAGCAGCACCATGAGCCTGCAGGAGTTCGGCAGCAGCGCCAGGAGGCCCTGCCCACTCTCGAGAAAGGCTGGGATGCAGTTCACCATGCTTTACCGGGACATGCACCAGATCAACCGAGCTGGCCTCTTCCTAGGGTCCATCTCCTCCTCGAGTGTGCGGGATCTTGCCTCCCACTTTGAAAGGAGCAGCCTGGCCTTGGCCAGGGGTGAGCTGGGCCCCAGCCAGGAGGGCTCAGATCACATCCCCAAACACACAGTCTCCTCCCGCATCACAGCTTTCGAGCAGCTGATCCAGCGCTCCCGGTCCATGCCATCCTTGGACCTGTCCGGCAGGCTGAGCAAGTCCCCCACACCGGTGCTGTCCCGGAGCGGCCTGACCTCAGCCCGCTCCGCCGAGTCCCTCCTGGAGTCAACCAAGCTCCGGCCTAGGGACATGGATGGGATGAACCCCAGGGGTGTCTATGCCTCCCCAACCTGCAGCAATATAGTGGACCCCAGCTTGGGCTTCAGGGGCCTTGCGCCTTCTGAGCCCCTCTCCACCTGCTCTGACGAGCTCGACCACTGCTCGAACATCTCCAGCGACAGCAGAGAAGGCAGCGGTAGCAGTGTTCATGGGGACTTCCCCAAACACCGCCTCAACAAGTGCAAGGGCACCTGCCCGGCCTCATACACCCGCTTCACCACCATCCGGAAGCACGAGCAGCAGCAGACCTCCAGACAGCCTGACTGGCGCCCAGATTCCAGAGGGGACAGGAACACGCTCCTCAGGAACATCTACCTAATGAGTCCCCTCCCGTTCCGGTTGAAAAAGCCCCCCCAGCACCACCCCAGACAGCCTGCCCCCGGTGACTTCTCAGGCCCCCCCGCCGGCCGGAAGCCAGACCTCCCCAGCCAGCCCCTTCAGGATGATCCCCGCTCTGGGGCGAAGCCCTTGGTCCCCAAACGCCTGTCTTCCCGACACACCATGGCCAGGCTGAGCCGGATCTCAGAGCCCCCTCAGGAGAGACCCGCAGTCCCAGAGGACTGCCCGAGGGCCTTTAATAATGGGAACTCTGTGCCGTACTCAGACCACGGCCTGGACAGGAACAACAACCCACAGAGTGAACTGGGACCATCCCTCGGAGGTGGCATTTTGTGTATTCGCCCAGTCTCACCTCACTCGTCTCTCCACTTTGCTTGCTTTGTCCCCTCCTCCTGTGTGCCCTTGGTGCTCATTTTCTGGTCCATCCTTTGTTTTCTGTTTGTTTTGCTTGGCAATTAATCATGGCTCATAGTGGCTGCACTTCTTTAAAAACAAAGCCCCCATGTCATTTAGACTAACCACCAAACTCTGTTTCGAAAGAAAAATTGGCCATTTAGCTCACCTGAGAAATTTGCCCATTTGGACTCTTGAACCCCTTGCAGTTTGCACCAACCCCGACTCACCCTATGGTTTTTTGAGAGGCAGCCTCTCTCAGTGGCCCTGTGTGTGTGTGAGTGTACAGTGTGTCCCTGTAAGATCCTGCACGCCTCTTAGTAGGGACACTTTTCAGAGAAGGTCCTCTCTTTTTGCTCATCTTTTGCCTTCTGATGAGTTTTCTTTGTATTATACTAGTTCACATGTAAATTCAAAAAGTGAGAGGGGGGATTTTTTTTTTTCTTCAGAAATTGATAATTGGTCTGAACGACTATAAAAACTTGATATTTAGAACCGATGAAAGGTGGAATCTTTTCTCAGTCTGGTTTCCCACTAAATCTTTGCCTGTTTTAATTCTACTTTGTTGTTTTGAAGATTCAGAATCACCAAGACATTTTATACCAGCTGATTACTTGGAATCCACAGAAGAATTTATTCGAAGACGTCATGATGATAAAGAGGTATGTGCCATCTCTAAAATCTCTTAGCTCTTGCTCAGATAAAAATCTGAGGGAAGTAAACATTCTAGATCTCCGTCAGAGAGGTGGCGTGGCCTAGCAGTTGGAAGCAAAGATTGGCGTTGTCAGAAGTGACCTTTTTATATGACATAGGCTTGGTCACCCCTCTTTTAGTCCACTTTTCCAAGAGATAGGACTGGTTTCCCCGAGCCACTCAGTTCTAAATGCCACGTCGAGCCAGAACTGCTACATGGGAGGTTCAGAAAGAGGTGGCCAATATTTGTATTACTCTTTGCTCTTTCATCCCTTGCCCCAACCCTTGCCTTATTATTCTCTAGGGACATCCACCCACATATTTCTCCAATACTGTCCACCCCTCCCTTGGCACAAAACACAGTTGATACTGGGAAGGATGCAGTAGGAGAAGGAGGAAATTGAAAAATAATAATGTCCGTGATACATATTATGAAACAGTTTGAAGAAGTGGCCTTTAACTCAGAAGAAGAGAGATACTCGAATAAATGTTGGTAGACCCCCACCAAGAGCTTCAGGATACAGACTTTGTCTTACAGCTGCTGGCATGTCTGTACTGCAGTGGTAAGACTGACAGGGTTGGGAAAGGAACGTGTTCTCTTGGGATTTAGGAAAAGGTATTGGGTTGTCGGAAAAGTCATGACGCATTTTTGCAACGAAAAGCAGAAAAATAATTCATGACTTTTCTGACAACCCAACAGTTCTACAATACATATCAACTAAATGGGCAAAACTCACAAGCTTCTATTGTGATAAAGTGTTGTTATGAGGCACGCTTTCTAGACTTCGCATTCCCAGGAGAAAGGGTCCTATTTATTAAACAAACTCCGGTGTTCATTTTCCTATAATGAATTAAGGTGGAAGAATTGCTTTGAACCTGGTGGCAGGCGGGGAAAGGTGTTCATGTCTACACAATTCTTTTCCTTTCCCTATAAAATCTGAAGCCCTTTTTCTATGTTGTTCTGTTTTATTGAGTGGTTTCAGAGTTGAGGTGGACTTTCCTGAAGGACATAGGGTAAGCCCAACTCTGAGGAGTGCTGGATGATAATCATTGCTGCCAGGTGGTAAGACAAAGGACAGAAGACACCAGGGCTCTCCCGCTCTCCAGGCACAATACAGACAGTATTTAGTGAGACACTGGCACGTGTCTGTTGGAAGAAACAAGAGGAAGCATTTGCGGTACAGAATTATTTGTAATAATGAGATGGAAAACTTCGTCAGGCTGCAGAACAGATTTCATTTCAAGCCACCGTCATAGAGATACAAGATTCCCACCTGTGTAGGCCTAGGCTGCTAGGGTGAAAGAATATGAGATTCTATCTTACGAGTATGAACCTTAGTACCCAACATGGAAGGTTTTGTGATAGAATTCTTACCTACCACTTGGGAGGCATATTTTACTTAGTTGATTTAGTAGTGGATATATTAAGAGGTGCATTCAGAAGGTGAACAACTTATCTCCTGAATAACACTAGCTCTAAGATCCTTAAACACTTTGTGTCTTTACCTATGGTTTTGGCTTATGTGGTTGGTGAAACCATGGGATTGATGGGCTTGCTGAGGTCAGAGTCAAGCACTGGTTTGGGAACCTTGCTCCATTCCCTGTCCTCTCTCACTGATTTCTATGTGACCGTGGCCAGAGCTCCAGGGATATGGCACTCTCAGACATCAGTCCATTCCCACGGCTACAGAAAAAGTACACTTCCCAGCTAGTGGAGTGCCAGTCTGGCATTTTTCTATGCAAACGCTTTTATTATAAACATTGATGAAAATGGCATTTCAGAAAATGAGAACGTGTCAGTCCTGGAAGGGACATCAGTGGCCATCTAGTCAACCACCTTGTTTTATCCAGAAAAAAAAAAAAAACGGCAACAGGGTAATTAGTTGCTTGCTCGGGGCCACATAACAAATTAACTTACACCAGATGCAGAGCTAGAAACCGAGGACCAACTGTGCTCTGCAAAGCATGTTCTCATGTTTTTTCTCATTTAATCTTTACAACAACTTACCAGAACACTGGAAGTCCTTACAGCCATTTGATGAAATGTTACTTCATTATTTGTAGACCCTGGAGAAAAATAGAAACATTGGGCCCGCCGTCCTTTGGGGCTAGGTGTGACTTAAGGCATTTAATTGACTCCTGGAAGAAGATTAATGTTTTGTTGAGCATGCTAAGAATTATCAGTTCTAATTAATGCTTTCCTACCAGGAATGTTAACCCCAAGAATGTATACTTGGAATGGAATAAGAAAATATATTAAAGTTCTATTTCATAGGGGCATTTCAGTAGGCAATGTGGACATTTGATAAAATGCCACATTATTGAATTTTTTGAAAAGGCTTTTAAAAATAGAAATAGGTGACCATTTCCTTAATTTAGGGTAGACTATTTCTTCAAAACCCAATTACCATTATTCTTAGTTTATCTTCTGTATTTATATTCTACCTCATTCCCTTAAACTCAACTTGACTTTACCTACTGAAGAAATAGTTAAGTAAAAAAGTACAGTAAGAAAGTAACTGATGCTCTTTGCCAGTCACCTGCATAGCCTTTGGTGCACGTGCTGAGGCCACCTAAAAACTGTGCCCAGAGGAAGGATTGGCTGGTCTTGGAGATGGGAGTGTGCCATTTTTATGAAATGGGCGGCTCCACTCTATCGAGCATATTAGAATAACAGACATAGGAAGCACAAAAATGACCTAATTGCCTTAGACCCCACAGAGTTAAAGCCCATAGCAGGTTTAACAGGCCTGATGTAGGCAGGGGAATTAGCCAGCCCTGGTCCCACCATGGCAACACACTATGGGAATGCATCGTTACCTAAGAGAGGTAAAGATGTCACTTCCGGCCTCCTGCCGCCATCCCAGCATGCTTACAGATGCTCTGGATGGACCCCCTGTGTCACCTGGCCTTTGCTGCCCATGTGTCAGGGGGAAGGAGGCTTTGGGCTGAGCCAGGGGATAGCTTGCAGACAGCGTACTGTATGGAGCTCATCTTTCCCTGTGACCCACGTTCCCCAGGTTTCTCCTGTGCAGTGTGGTCTCCTTCCTGCACAGAGGGTGGTTACAGCGGGGACATAGTAGCAATGGCCATAAAGCCCTTCCGACATCTGATGCATAAAGTTTCCTCCCTATTGACCCAGCACCTTTTTCCTTAGTTGTTTTCTTTGGCAGTTTTCCAGTACCCCGGACCCGATGATTCACTGCCTATTTTATGCAATTTCATGGCAGAAACTTTTAGCGGACCAGAGACGACTTAAGCGCGAGCAAGAAGAGGCCGATATTGCAGCTCGGCGCCACACGGGCGTCATTCCAACGCACCATCAGTTTATCACTAATGAGCGCTTTGGGGACCTCCTCAATATAGACGATACGGCAAAAAGGAAATCTGGGTCAGAGGTCTGTTTTGGTCGCCTCGATCTGCTGCTTGACCCAAAGCAATATTTGCTTGCCCTCAGCATTGCCCGCTGTAGGCCAAATTAGTTCTCCAAACAGCATCTGTCATCTCAGCTTCCCTTAGGCTTGCTTTGGCTCTTCTGTGGCTGGTCAGTGGACATGATTCCCATCATGCCCTGTGCTCTGTATGTTCAAGCATGTCTGGCTGTGGGACCGGGATCTGCTGGCGCACACCCTTATGCATGCCTTAGAGCATCGGCTGCCTTCATGAGTCCAGTCTACGTCCTGCATTGTATCATGACACTGTGTTGCCTGTGCATTCTCCGTAGAAACTGTCTACCTTAGTCCATATGCATTAGCAGCTGTGGTTCGGACAATGATGAGACTCTTCTTTGAAGAGATGGTTTAGTGAAAATGACATTCCAAAAGTTAGCTAGCATTGCATGAGTTACACCATTTACACCAATTCCCAAAATTAGTAACTTTAGTATTGGACTGTCGGAGAATGAACAATACTGCTGCTCAGCATTATGCAATGAATGAATTGAATAAAGTGTTCAGTAGCGCTGCAGCCTCACTGAAGAATTCTGAAACCCGAAGAGTTTTGCAGTGAGAATGAGCTTATGCAGGGTGAGAGAGCTCTTGGAGAGACATTTCATTTGTTCCCTTAATTTTGACATTGCTCAGCTAAGAGTACGCAACTTCATGTTATAGAATAAACGAAGAAGCACAAACCTTTGAAGTAATTTTGTTCAGTCCTTGGCTTCCTGCACCAAGGCCAACATGTTGAAATCCTTGGGCTGGCCAAGGGCTGCGTCTGTGTCAAGAGTTTGTTTTGCTACCGTGACCCTAAAGTAGCTCTGCTGAAGATTAGCTCCTTTGGAGGAAGTGTGTGTGTCTGTGGCTTAGGTGGTATGGAAATGAGTGACACCCAAAGTATACACAGTCTTAGAATCTTTCAATATAATAGTAGATTGATATTTATATTTTCATCTTTTGAGTGACAGGCAACACTGGCTAGTCAGTTTTTTTTTTTTTCCTAAAGAAATAGAAGGTGCCTGGGAAGAAGAGATAAAGAAAAGAAGGAACCAGATTAAAAGAAGGGAAGCTAGAGTGGGGAAGGAGATTCTAAAGTGATGGAGGAAAAGAAAATGCAATAAGGAAGAGGCAGACGTTCGCAAGCGTTAGTCAGTTGCAAGGGAAGGATAGCCCCTCAGCCCTCGGCATACTGGCTCCTTCTCAGAACTACTCTGTTCTGGGGACTCCACAGATGGTTGGTCCTCATTCACAGGCCTCCCTGTTTATGAGTGATGGAGAAGATGGCAACAGGCACAGGCACCCTAGGGTTGCACACTCACATGCCTAGACAATACATGCAAATGAAAATGCAACTGGGGCAGAATAACTGTGGACAGAGGCAAGCAAACTCTGCCTAACCCACCCTTCTGGAGCAGTGATTTTCAAACTTGAGTGCATCGGAATACCTTAGAACAAGGGTCAGCAAACTTTTGAGACGGAAGAGCCTCCAGGGGTCAGCAAACTGCGGCTTGCGAGCTTGTGGCTCTGAAGTAAAATTGAAAATGGAAATAAAACTATCGTAGTTTCATCAATAAAATTTTTAAAGGCTACTATTCACATAATGGTGATTATGTAAAAATATATTTATGGCTTTTGAATAATTTTTAAATTGTTGTGAGGGACAGGATTGGCTCTTCCAGGGGTCAGCAAACTTTTGAGAGAGAACGTACCCAAAGAGCCGCATGTGACTCGTGAGCTACAGTTTGCCGCCCCTGCCCTAAAACCTTGTTAAAATACAGATTGCTGGGCTCCCCCCACAAAGTTCCTGATTCTGGGGTGGGGCCTGAGAATGTGCATTTCTAACCGATTCCCAGGTGATGTTGATGATACCAGTTTAGGGACCACACTTTGAAAATCACTGCCCTAGGTGTTGACTGACAGACATGAGAAAATAGACACCAACAAGTCCCACGTACCCCGGGCTGTGCAGACACACTTCAGCCCCATTCAGTAGACCCGGGTGACCCTGAGTTCTGTGCAACACCCTGTGGGGAGGCAGAAACAAGACTCAGACTGTGCCCTTGGGTAGTCCAGTGGGAGAGGAACTCTGGGAACAGTTATGTCTGCTGTAGGAACAGTTATCTCTGTTGTCCTCAGTAATACAATGCTGTGGGAGCCAGAGGACTGATGGATTCGGCCTTAGGGAGACAGAGGAAGATAAAGAGGAAGACATGCTTTGTATAAGCAATGCTGACTCACATAATATGTCTTAAGAGATCATTGGAATCAGTGTGTCTCAACTTTTTGTAATGTATGTACGATTCCCTTTAATAAAAAAAGAAATTTCACCATCCCCCAATGTCAATCTAATCCAATTTACAAATTAAATAGTAAACTATGCGCCTATACAAGTTTATTAATTTAATTGATAGGTCATATCAATTTTTGCCTGAGCTTAGTTGCCACTCAAAGTGTGACTATGGTTATGTTTTGGTATAATTTTTTAAAGTTCACACAGTCCTATAGCTGGCTGTCATGGGGTGCCCACCACTTTTATTGGAATCACTATGAAATGTCTGTCCTTACAGTTTTGGTCATTTGGCCTTCTCGTGAACTTGTCGTTTATCATTATCCCACATTTGTTCTTTTATTATTTGCCTACGACTGTGAAATTATGCTCTTTGGTCACAGACAGACACAAATGCAGACATTGAAATTGTGTGGCAAAAAAGAAAGGAAAGAAAGGGAGGAAGGAAGGAAGGTAAGAAGGAAGGAAGAAATTATGTGGCATTGGTTATAAGGCAGCATCCAGTTGACCTCTAACATGTATGTATATAGATAGATAGATGGAAACATCAAATGAAAATGCAAAAATAAAAAATTCCTGTGTCGAATTCATGGCCCTTAAGAAGATCCTTACAAGACCCCAGGTTGAGGAATCTGGTGATATGGAGGATATCACCGAGGGATTAGGATCTAAAACTAAGCTTGGTGAAGTTTGTCAATACCATTGTTTTTCTCACCTAAAGCTTCCCATTTTCCCTTTCTACTTTGGCCATGCCCTCTAATATTGAAGAGGAAGTGTATGATTTCATTTTTATCACATTGTTTCTCTAGACCAGAAAGCCATAACAGTTGAAGAAGTTGGATCTACTCATGACTGGGTTCAGAATTATATTGGCGGCTGTAAACAGCTTGCTCACATGAAGTTCTATCCCCTACCTTTCTTTAAAAAAAAAAAAAAATAGTTAAAATACATTTTTTTGGCAGTGAGGATGAATGATGATGTGCAAATAAATATGGTAAGTAAAGGTGAACATTTTGCTCTTTTTTGCTGGAATTGGAGATGAAGACATTCCAGACAGAGAAGGGGGGTTAGGCAAGGTGTAGCTAATAGACTTGCCTGACTGGATTGGGAAGAGTATAAAAAGAGATAAAGGCAGTTAGGTATGAGTGGGAGAAATTGCCCAACTACCTTAACCCACTTCAGAAATTGAGATTTGATCTGAGAGACAGTTGAGAACCTCAGCCAACTTCAAAGCAAGAAAGTGATGTGATGGAAGTATTTGAGGAATGTTGTTTGTGCTCCTGAGTGACAGTAGATTAGAGTAAAGAGAAGCAAGTCAAAGGAAGCTTTGTGCCTGTAGGAACTAGAGGTCAGACATGAGAGGGATTGTGGAGGGACGGACTGAGGGAGAGGGAGCATTGGTGTGACTTCCAGACCTGGCGTTCTGAAAGGAGAGGGCTACCCAACAGGAATAGAAGCCTTAGAGAAAAAATGAGCTCAGGGCTCACTTTACCTAGCTTTTTGGATGATCTCACAGGCCATGAGAAATATATATATGGAGTTGAAGATGACGTGAGAGGTTAATCAGGGTTTCATCTATTGGGTTGTCAGAAAAGTCATGACATATTTTTTCTATGTTTTTCATTGAAAAAAATGCGTCATGACTTTTCCGACAACCCAATACTTGCAGATGGTAATTTAAGTCAGGCAAACAGATAATCTAAGAATAAGACTGTGATGATTCCTAAACAGTAAGACTTCTGGTTAATTCTGTTTTTATTTTTATTTTTTTTGTTCTGTTTTTTAATAGCTATGGTCAGCCTTAGGGAACTAGCACTTCAGCTTTGGGACTTTTCTAACCATCTCTTTCCCAAATCTGTCCCACCTTAGGGAGATTCTCATGCATGATATAGTTGACCAAACATCGATCTAGTGTCCTGCTGAAGTCAGACAAGTGGAGTTTTACCCAGATTTGTACACCAGAATGAACTGCTTAGATTGAATTTTTCTGCTTTGCTTTCTAGAAACTTGTGGAAATGTATCTTTTTCATTGTATATGAATCGTGATTTTAACTTAACTTTTTTTTCTTGTGTTTAGATGAGACCTGCCAGAGCCAAATTTGACTTTAAAGCTCAGACACTAAAGTAAGTGCCACCAGTCATTCGTCATTTTAACTGCCTCTTTGAAACACAGAAGCTCACTGATAGAGAAATTGGAGAAATAACAATGATAAAAAACAATAGGTTATAGGGCCAGCAGAGTGGCTCAGTTAGTTAAGAGCTCGCTCAAGAGTTTGAGCTCTGAGCAACAGTGGTTCGAGTTCCAGCCCGAGCTGAGCAGCCGCTGAGCTGCCAACAGGTAGCAGGATGGCTCAGCTAAAAAAACAAAAACAAAAACAAAAAAAAAAATAGGTTATGGCGTTTACTATGTGCCAGGCACTGCTCCGAGTGCTTTACACTACATTACGGTGCAACATAGGTTACTCTGTAATCCTGAGAGGTCAGTACTATTATTATCTCTTTGTACAAATGGGGAAACGGAAGGACTGCAAGGTTAGGGAACTTGCCTAAGCTCGTCAGTGATGATGTCAGGGTTCAAACCCAGGCAGCCTGGTGCCAGAGCCGGGGCTCTTTCCACTATGTCACCCTGCCTCCTCCTATATAGGGACTCAGTTTGCTTATTCAAGTGATGGCTCGATCTGACTCACCCTTTCTATGAAAGGAACCAGAACCAGCCTCTAGGAAGATAACTTTACAATATTTTCTACAATATCCCAAGAGATTACAGGCTTATGGGGAACCTATAGGAGACCAGTATTTCTCTAAGTATGTTTCTCAGAGTGCTAGCTCTAAAATATTTCTCAAAAAGAGCGTTCCATCATAGAAATGAGTCTGGGGACCACTGCATACTATGTCTCTACCTCCCCACCCCCGCCTTGAAGAGATACTTTGCTATTGCCATATTAAAGGCTCTAGAAGCCTTTCAATGAAGAAACCTGATTAGCTTATTTAACCCAGTGTTACCTAAAATTTAGATGACCCAGAAACCTTTATACTTTCCGTGGAATGAAATTTGGGAAATTCTACCAAGGACTGGGTTCCAGATGGTACCTGCTCACTTTATATCTAATTATGGGCTAAAATGGACCATGAGTTTTCATTGGCAGCAATGACCAGCAGCCATCCATTGTCCTGCTGATGGGAGGCCCCGTGTCTGGTGATGAGGGAGAGCTCCCCATCCTCAGACACTGGGAACTGCTGTGTGGAGGCGGCTCAGCCATGCTCTCCTCCAACACAAAACCAGGATACGGTTTCCAGAACCTAGGCACAAATCTGGTGCACCGGGCGTTTGTAATTACTCCAGTCCTTTAGCTCAAGAGGTGGCGACGTCATGTGCCAGAGGGTTATGGCTTTAAAGTCCTGATTCTGCAACTTATTGTCTCTGTGACTGTGGACAAGTCACCCATCTCTCCTGCCTCAAATTTCCTCATCTGTAAAATGGGCATTAAAATGCCTCCCTTCCAGAGCAGCCGAGGTAACTTAGTTACAAAACACTTTGTACAATGTAGCAAAAGTCAGTGACCCCCTTTTTTAACCAGAGAGAGGATAACAAAGATATATAAATTAATGTTTAATTTTACCTTCTTCCATTTTTTTCTTTGACTTGAGAAAGGCCCATGTAATATTCATTGAATGGTGTTGTGTTGGTAATATTACATTTACCTAGATTTTATTTTTTTAAAAAGTCTTCAAACAATTTTTTTCTTTAGAGCGACCCTGTCAGATAGAACAGGTGAGAAAGCTGAGGTAGACAGAACTTGTCACCATTTTTCAGCATTGCCAGTGCTGGAGGGAGGGTCCCTTCCTCCGGACTCAGTGTTTCATCCTACCATGCTGTCTCCAAAAAAAGCTAATAAAACTTTTTTTAAAAAAGTAAATGGCAGATCCATAGACTTGAGGCTTTTTAAATATCTTCAGTCACTGGGTTCTATTTTTCTCCATAGTGTGTGACTTAAAAAAAGTGTTCTGTGGGAGCACTCAATTCAACAACGTTGAGCAGGTTTCTTTCCCACAGGACCTCTCTCAGCCTCTGCTGTGCCAATGTACATGGTAACACTCCAGGAAAGATCTAAAATATATGTCAGACCTTGTCATATGGTTCTTTGGGAGATGGGGGTGTGGTCCACAGTGCAGGAAGGATGGTGACCCCAAGCACCCCATGGTACATCTCCTTTGGCCGCAACTACAGACCTCTCACGTGAGCCGTTCTACCCATCTTAACAGCGGGACCATTACGGCTCCCACCTGCCTGTACAGCTGCAAGTCACTTAGGGTTGGAGCCTGCAGACCTCCAGCAGGGGTGGATGTGCTGAAAGTCTTGTTTATCCGGGTGTCCATGGTTGGGGGTAAAAGGAAGGGAGGAATTCCGAACGCCCCCCAGGAGGGCTATGGCAAGAATTTGACCGAAGACATTCCTTCTTACGGAGACCAATGCCCTGTTACCCTTCACGGGCCTCTTTAGGGTTAGAATCCTGTCTACCAGTGTGAGACCCACAAAGACTGCCTTGTTCTTTCATTCCGCACAGTACTGACTTTGTGTAAAGTTTTCCAGATGTGCCCCCATTGTTTAGCCAGCATCTCTCACGTACCATGGGACTTCCTGGCATACTGCAAAGCAGGCACACTCCCTCCAAATTACAGCCAGAGACCTTTCTTTCCAGGCAGTTGGTTTGATGCAAATGGAAAAGATCTAGTTCATCTTTTTTCTAATCCAAGAAAATTTCAAGTAACAATTTTTGTTCTCCTTTTAAGTTCTCACTTTGTTTATAAAAGTTATCTTTTTGTCTCCTTTTTCCAAAAGGAATCCTGATTAGAGGTTAACATCATCATTATTGAGGCAAACAAAGGGATGGATATGGAAAAGTTGAAAAAAGGCATGAAAAACACTTTTCTTTCCAAGATCCCTTTATGTTGAAAAGGAAGTGAATTAACATTTACCAGGTGTTAACCATCTGACAGGCAACAGTGCTGGGTGTTTTATTTGTAGTTTGTTGCTGAATTCAACAACTCTGAGTTAGTTCCTATTTTGATAATATCTCAATGATATTAAGTGTTTTGCCCAAGGATTCAGAGCTAGTAAATGGTATAACTAGGTTTGAATCCAGATCTGCCTGATGTCAGAGCCTTTCTACTGCATGATGATGGATGGATGGTGAAATATGTGGATAGATGGATGGAATGATAGAAGATATTAATATATGAGAAATAATTTGAGGGTAACTTAAAGCAGTGGAGGCATGCCTTACCAGGGCAGGGAAGAGGGAAGTGAAAGCAGTGAAAGTATCTAGAAGGAAATGTCTTTCATCATTTAATGAACATCAGTTAAGACTACTGAATACATTTGCTATGTGTTACATAAATATTCTGCACATAAGACGGCATTCGCAAAAAAAACATAGGGAAAACCACAACAAACTGAGCACTTCTGAGTGCTAGTCCATTTAAAAGTTAACATCCAGCCCACAGAAGACTGGAGCAATGCCAAGCGTGATGTAATTTCCTTCACAGTGAGGTTCTCGCTTCCAAATATGGAGCCCCCTCTTGTGTAATTTGCTCCCTTTGACCCCACTCGACGTCTCCTTCTGCTAAAAAACTGGGTGTCTTAATCTTACACATATTGAAACATCGGCTAAAATGCACGCCCTTCTGTTGACAGGGAGCTTCCTCTGCAAAAGGGAGACATTGTTTACATTTATAAGCAGATCGACCAGAACTGGTATGAAGGAGAGCACCACGGCCGGGTGGGCATCTTCCCACGCACCTACATTGAGGTACCGCAGCTCCTTCTGTTTCTGAGGAAAAGCCCGATCAGGCCCAAAGCACCGTTCATTTACCACAAACTTGTGCGTTGTTTCCTCCTCTCCTCTCATGTCTCTACTTTCTTTTCTTTTCTCTTTTACCTCTTTTCCTTTCTTAGCTGCTTCCACCTGCAGAGAAGGCTCAGCCCAAAAAGTTGACACCGCTGCAGGTTTTGGAATACGGAGAAGCTATTGCTAAGTTTAACTTTAATGGTGATACGCAAGTAGAAATGTCCTTCAGAAAGGTAAGCCACCCTCTCCTGTGCTTCGGGGTCTGTTGGATGGCAGTGTGGCATGGCAGTGGCGTGCCAGTATGGCAGTGCTGTTGGTACACCTTAGAGATAGAGATATGCCCAATCGAGGATGGCACTCAGGGTGTTTGGAGAATTTTCTGAGGTGAGGCATTTTAAACAAACCCTAGGATCGTGTCAGGGTTCAGCTACATTGATTTCACTGATTCGAGGCAGTATTTCTGGAATCTTAGACATCTTTTGTAAACTATGTTCAACCAACATTTATTGAGCACCTAATGATGTCATAAGCTCTGGGTAGGTGACTAGGTTTTACACCATAGTGATGTGGCCTAGTGGAGAAAAGCAAGTCCTTTGACACCAGGAGAATTTGAAAAACTTTGTGGCCAAAAGTCATGGGTTATCAGCTGTGTGGCTCTTAGGGAATTAAGTAGTTTTTCCGAGCCACCATTTCCTCATATATAAAATGAAGATAAGTGGCCCTCGTAGAGCTGTTGTAAGAGGATTAAATGAAACGACATATGTGAAGTTCCCAGCATGACATATGGCATCTAGTTTGTGGTCAGTAAACAGGAGATACCAATGTTATCATTATTATTGCCTCCAAGGAGCTGAGCATGCTTACTTTGAACACAATTAAGCTGTGCAGAGACACTGTTCTTCCCAGGAATCCAGACTCTTCACATGTCAGAATTCTCTGACTTCCCAACATTATTAATGTTTCTAATGTTATTGAGGATTGAAAGAAGTGAGCACATGCCTTCGATAAAGATGAGCCCCCTTACAGAAAAGAGAAACACTGGAAGCAACCCAGTTGCCTAACATCGGGAGACCACTGATTAAGTCACTGTATGTATGTGCAGTAGAATATCCTGCAGTGGTCTATTAAGCTGTGCAACACTGTTAAAAACGTTGAATTATATTTCTTGATAAAGAAGTAGGTTCACGATGTGATTAACTATAAAAAAGCAAGGTGGAAAAGGGAAATACAATGCATACTCAATTTTTATAGGAAATTATGTACAAGTCTAATTCACATGTATAGAATTCAACCTAGGAAGTACATATATCAAAATATTAACAGTTACCCCCAGTGATAATATTATGGGTAATGATTATTTTCTGCTTTATATTTACTTGTGTTTTAATTTTTCTATAATGATACAGGAACAAAGTAAAAGTATAAAAGAGTGAAAAAAGAGAATCCCCCCCAAAACCTTTGCCTTAGAGAAGTTTGGATATCTGTTTTGCATTAAATGAGTCAAAAACACTACATTTACCTACTAGCTTGGGGGAATAAACATGACCTTCTCCTTTACTGAAATATTTAAAGACCAAGCTTTAACCCCCAGCATCCAGGTAGCTTTACTGCTGTTAGCTTCTCTATCCCAGTGATATTCATTCCATCCAGGTCTAGCAAGGAAGGTTTCTCTAAGCAAAGAATGTGATAAATAAGGCAGGATAGCAGAGGGTGCAGGCAGAGGCCTCAGGCTTGCTGAGGCATGGTGGGACAAGAACCCTTGCCTTGCCGTGTCTTACAGGGTGAGAGGATCACGCTGCTTCGACAGGTGGACGAGAACTGGTACGAAGGGAGGATCCCGGGGACGTCCCGGCAAGGCATCTTCCCCATCACCTATGTGGACGTGATCAAAAGGCCACTGGTGAAAAACCCAGTGGATTACATCGACCTGCCTTTCTCCTCCTCCCCAAGTCGTAGTGCCACCGCGAGCCCACAGGTACCTAAGCTTCTCGTCACTGGTTTTCACACTCAGCATGACAGACCCACAGTGCTGGTAGCACACAGCCCCTTGGGGGTGGTTCTTCGGCACGGTGATTAAGGACCATCCTCAGCAATGCAGAGTATACACACAGGGGTCTGTTTTCGTACATTCGAGCGGCATTTTTCATACACTTGGTTGGAGAAATATTATCTCAGGAAAAGGAAGAACTTAAAGCGATTGCTCTGGGAATAATATGACTAGGGAAAGAGAAAAGAGAGCCTTTATCAGTTCATCCAAAACTCTGTACTGGGAGTATCCCATCCTGGGTAAAGCTGGTGGTCTGGGTACCACCACTGTACCATACCTACCATGGCCCAGTATGGTTCTCTTAGTCATCTTGTTGGTCAAGGTTGGCCTGCAAAAGGTAGAAATCCAGAGTATTCTTTGCAAGCAGGAACCAGGTTGGAAAAGGGACTTATAGCATCTCTGTGTACACTGGGCTGAAAGCAAGTTTATAATAAAATGTTTGCCTTCCTGAACATTAATTATGGGCAAGCTTGTTTTAAACTATAAATTATTCCAAATCCATCCCTGCTTTCCCAAAGTGAACAAAAAATTAGGACCTTGGACTCAGGAGAGGCATGGTGGGATGACTTCTTGTGAAAGAGTCTGGCCATACTGCCATTGTAAGTTGTAGGAAGGGTGGTCAGAGAAAGGAGAACAAGCAGGGACTCAGGATGACAGAGGATGGCACCTCTTTCCTGTCATCCTCTAATCATGTCTTCCTCTTCCAACTGCCCATCACTGACCCCAGGAGATGGTTCTTGGGTGAAAGCATTAGAAAGGCTGACCCAGGCTTCCTGCACAGCAAGAGCCATGCCCTGGGATCTCATGGGGAGAGGGTGTGAGACTGGCACAGGGCATTCTGCTTTGTAATAATATGGGGAACTCAACTAGATTTTTTTACCTGACTATTGCAAAGTGTGACTGTCAAACAAAATGGCTGCACTGCTCATACTCCTCTCTGGGAAGCTCCTTGCTGAGCGCCCCCTAGGGAGGATAAAACCCAAGGAACGGCCATGGCAGTGGCAGGTTTCTTCCTTGTGGTTCTGGGTCAGGGCTTTGCTTGCAGAGGTGGTTGGGTGGGGCAGGGTGGGGAGCTCCCAGTGTGTCCCTTTGAAAGTCTGATTTTGCAAACCAGGTGTAACTGCCCCAAGGGGACCCTTTCTCCCATCTGCACACCACTTGCTTCTCCTAGCCACCCCCCTACCCCCCGCCTGCACACACTCATGCGTACACACACCCACATCCCAGTTTCTCTCCAAACCTAACCATACAATTTCCTTTTGGACACCAGAGTGTCCCACTCGTCTTTTCCATTTCATTCCTCTCTATATGTCCCTTGTGATTATTTTCCTCCTTTCTTCTTTATGCTGACCCTTGTACCTTTTGCTTCTTTCTTTTGTTCTCTTCTCTCTCCTTTTCTTTTTAAGTTTCCCAGTCACAGCAAGCTCATCATGCCAGCCCCCTCATCTCTGCCTCACCCCCACCGAGCCCTGTCCCCTGAGTTGCATGCTGTCACCTCTGAGTGGATCTCGCTGACTATAGGGGTCCCAGGCAGGCACTCTCTGGCCCTGACCCCACCCCTGCCTCCCCTGCCGGAGGCTTCTGTCTATAACACTGACTACTTTGCCTTGTTGGCAAGACCTGGTCCCTCCCTGCCCCTCAGGCTCCCACATTCAAGTTGGTCCACCTCACGCTCAGTGGTATCCCCACTGGCCCTACCTCCTCCCCACAAAGCCTACTCCCTGGCACCCGGTGCCCAGGCCTCCCTTCACATCAATGGAGACAGTGGTATCCACCAGGACAGCTTCTCCCAGCCGCTGCTTGGGAGCTCCGACAGGGTCATCTCGGAGCTTAGCGATGCCTTTAGCAACCAGGGAAAGCAGCAGCCATGGCGAGAAGAAAGCAGACAGTATGAGAGGAAAGCAGAGAGGGAGGCAGGTGAGAGATACCCTGGTGGACCCAAGATCTCTAAGAAGAGCTGCCTGAAACCTTCAGACGTGGTCAGGTGCCTGAGCACGGAACAGAGACTCTCAGATCTCCACACCCCAGAGGAGAGCCGGCCCAGCAAGCCCCTGGGTAGCCCTTTTCCGGGAAGGGAGGCTGAGCAGACAGAGCTGCATAGAGGTGGCGAGCAGGCTCAGAGGAAGGCTGCTCGGAGTGGTGTGAGCCAGGTAGGCCTGCAGCATGACGTGTGTGCCTTGGCGTCTGAGTTGGCAGGGTGGGCCAAATGTCTCACCCACGGTCCATCTACTGAGGCCGCGTGGATGCCGGTGAGACCCAGTTGCTTGCCATGGGAGCAAAATTATCACCCAAGAGGGAATGGAGGGGTTATCAATTAAGGTGTCAGGGCTGGGGACAGTTGGAGGCAAAAGACAGGCTCTATTCTGGCCTCTTGAGGTGATTTGAAATTTACCCCCACTTTGGGTACTTTCTGTCCTGGTGCAAAAGCCCCTGAGAAGGAAGCCTTCCTTATACCCCATTCATTCCTTGGAGATCATCTCGGTTTTCTCGGACTAGCACAGCTGAGAACACCAGGCTTCAGTGTGGCTCAGCGTGGTCCCGTCTTATGTGAAACACACCTTGTTTGCATAACCCATGGCGCTCTGCCAGGGCTCAGCTCCGTCAGGTCCTCGTCCTGTGTCGTGTTTGTGTGGTTGTGTGGTGCCTTTGTTCACTGATGAACAAATGCATTTTGGTTCTGGGAGGAACTTGCGGGCCCAGCGCTGGGGCCCTCAGAGATATGGGGTTCTTGAATGGGCACAGCAGGTTTTTAGGTGACTGTCCCATATTCTCACGGGGTCAGCTACAGCAATTTCACAAGTTGGACCAAGGTGGCCTTAGGGTGTTTTGAGAGCTGAAAATTTGGGGTAGGGGAGGAGATGAACTTGGCAATTAGGTCATGATTCTGATTTTGCTGTGCTGTTTAATACCCGCAAAGTCAAAGGCTTTGGCAGCTTCCTCAAAGGAGCCAGGTTTGAATGCCTGCTCACCTCCTGCTGTCTAGTGACTTGGGAGTTACTTCCTCTCTCTGAGCCTCAGTTTCTTCATCTGTAAAATGGAGATAATAATACCTATCTCATAGAGTGGTTGAAAGGATTCCACAAAGTAATGTATGAGAAGTTCAGGGGTTGGGAATGGAACACGGTCAGCACTTTGTAAATGGAAGCTGTTCACTTTGGGTGATCTAGAGCTACTTCTGGAACTGAGAACATTCTAGAATGTCTTTAGAACCAAATGGAATCCTTAAATATGCCTTTCCAAACCATTTATTGTCTACTGTGTACAGTGCCCACAGTAGACTATGCTTGATCTCGGACCTACAATCTCAGTTTCCCTTTTAAGTTTCATTTATTTGCGCAACAAATATTTATCCAAGACCTGGAGACACCAGCCTCTGGGCAGGATACTGGGACCATGTGGTCCCTGCTCTTGAGGAGCCTATGTTCCGGTGAGACTGACTGACACAGCAGTGTCACGGCTGCAGTAATAGAGGTTAATGTGGCTTATACTCTCCCTAGCAAGCTACTTAACCCTCCCCAGCCACGGTTTTCTCATGTGCAAAGTAGGAGTGAAAGTGGTCCCACCCAATAGGGTGGTCGCAACGATTCAATGAAGAGGTGGGGTTCCGGCATGTGGGAAGGCTCCATGAAATGAATCGTTGCTCTGGCTCCAAGTTAGGGGCCGAGGGAAATAGCAGCACCTGGGGAAGGCTTTGCGGGGCCCTGGAGCAGGTGCTCCTGGAACGTGTGTTCCGTGAGGAAGAACAGGGTGAGCCCAGTTAAGGAAAGAATAGTTTGTTGGGGAGAGGTGGTAAAGTGGCTCGTTGAACAGCATTAAATGTCCCTGACACAGGAACTATTCTGTAAACATTCTAAGTCCGTCCACAGTGCCTGGAGACCTCGTTATTGTCAGCAGTGAGTCATAACGACCTGATTCCAGGACCCAGTGTGGACAGGAAGTACGCATGGTGCCGGAGCTCGGGGTGAGGTTAGGGGTATACACTTCCCTCCTGCTTCCTAACAGGGGAGGAGGGGCGGAGCTGGCAACATGGAAAGCCAGGCTTGTTGGAAATTGATTTTCCTTTCTTGGTAGGCCTCCAGCTCCCAAGTGCACTACTTCCTGTCTACTTCCTTTCTTCTGCTCTTCTCCATGGGTGCGCCCAGGCTGGGGGGCCAGACCTTGCTTTGTGGTGAGAGCTTAGAGTGTTGTGTGAAAGGGGCTCTGGCCCACACACCTGCCTCCCAACCCCCTTCACTTTCTCTTCCTGGGACTGGGAGCAGGAGCTGGCAACTCGGGAAATGGGTCTTTCAAAAGAAGCTTCCTGCTTCTTGCAGCCCTCTTTGGGTGACAGAGCTAAAGATGGGAAGGACTTAAGTGACACTATTCTTTCTTTGGTGGGCCGTCCGGATAGTGTGACCGCAAGCTGTGTCACTTATTTAGATAAATGCATTCCAGACCAGTTTGTGTTCTCAGGAAAATTACTCACCACTATTTGCCTTGCTATGGGGAGCCGAACCAAAAATTCAGTTTTATTATAGTTGTTGGGAAGCTAGGTTGAGTATCTAACCAGCACACAGCGGGAATCTTACCTGAGAGCCTTAAAATATCAGACATTCTGAAATGCTACGGTCATTGACGCTTCCATTCAAGCATCTAGGACGTTCAGGCGCTGTGCTAAGCGCTGCAAGAGACAGGGATGAAAGTCATTGGGAAAGCCTGTCCCCCTTCACGGGCTCAGAGGCACCATGTGATCTGGCCGTGTAGACAGCAAGCCAGCCTCAGCTTCCAAAGCCTCTCGTGCTCTTTGCCTGGATAATTCCCACTTTTTCTTCACTTCTCCACTTAGATGTTACTTCTTCCAGGAAGCCTTTCCTGACGTCCCCTCACCACCACCACCACCACCACCACCCCAGCACGACTGGGTTAAGTGCTCCAACATTGTGCTTCCACCCCCCCACCCCCCGTACCTGACGTAAGGGAGTACTTGTCAGCTCTATGGTACTCCTCCCTTAGAGCTTGTCTGTGTCACAGTTGAAGTGTTAGTGCCCTAAGGTCAGAGACCACGACACCTAATATATGGAAGGCATTTAGTAAATATTTGTTGAGTGGAAAAAAAGGGAAGAACACTAAAGGAGTTTTTTTATAACTAAAGCAGTGTATATGATCTCCATCGGGGAAATGACGTGTTCACAGATAACTATACAGACTGAGAAGGAGAGGCGCAAACAGCTCACTCTGAAAGTTCAAGATGGGGAGCAAAAATAAGCAACAGGAAGGGGAAGATGCCTGTCTGGAAAGACTTCATGAGAACAGTGGTAATTGATCTGGGACTGAAAGAACAGGGAATTTTACGATAAGCGAACAGCAAGAAGGTAGCATTCCAGGCGAACAAACAGTGCAGCCATGGCCTGGGAGCATGAACGTGGGGGGTGGGGAATGGTGAGCTCCTGGTTTGGGTGAGCCTAATGGTATCTGCACGTGGATGTAAAGAGGAAGTGTGGAAAAGGGGCTGGGGCAGAGCATGGAGGGGCTCGTTGGCGCCATGGTGGGTATTCCTAGCACCTCCTAACAAGCCTAGTCATCTTCCTCACAGTCACGTGACCTTTGTAACTCCCTTGTCAAACTTCCCAGTTTGGTGCTAAGTCCCTGCTTTGCTGTCTTCCTTCCCCGTCATCACCTGTCCAGCCCACCCGCCACCCCTAACTCTCTGCAGATATGCAAACACTTTCTTTGGGACAGGTTTGACTTTTCACTCCTTCGTAGCCTCCCAAACCGATATCACATTAGGTCCATCACTCCTGTTTCTGGGTGCGTGTTCTCTGAACAGCAGAGGAGGGTGAGTCAAGTGAGGGGGCTTCTAGGGGAAGTCAGGGTCAAGTGGGAAGAACAGTGTGTTGGCGGTCAGGATACCCAGTGCTAGCTCCAGCTCTGCCGTTAGCCTGCTGTGTGTCTTTGGATGAGTCACTTCCCTTCCCTGGCAGCTTCCCAATCTGTAAACAAAATATTCTGACAAGGAAACTGAAGCTCTTTCTCGCTTTAATATTCTTGATTAGCTAAAAATCCTGTGTGAATTTCAGTTGAAAAGAGAAAGAAGAACAAATACAACATTTTAAGTAGGGGGATTATTATAGACCTGAAGACCTTCACAATTAAAAAAATGAACGTTTTTCCTTTTATTATTTGAGGCACAGCTTAACTAATTGGACAAAAACACGTAGAAAAAGCCCAAGAGTTCAGAATTATCAACCACATTCTTGGATTTAGTTGGGTATAATTTTAGCCAAGAAGGCTTAGAACAATCAATCAAGAAAGTAAAGGGGAAGATCACCTTGGAATTCTGTATTATTAACATCATCAAATATTTGCCAAGATTCCCCAAGATAGAAGCATGATTTGCTAACTGGCATCCAGTTTTTGAGTCTACAATTGGTGAGAGAAAGACTCATAGAATTTCTGAATTAAAAAGAATCTTTAAAAATCATCATCTACCCCAATGATTCGTAAGTTTTTCTGGATTATGGAACCTTTGAGAACCTGAGATCAGCCAAGAATTCTAGGCCCACACACACAGTGTTGCATAAAGTTTCAAGAGAGTCACCCCTGAGTACATCTGAGAGGTCCACGGACCCCCAGGTTAAGACCCTCCAATCTAATTGACTTTTATGACAAGATGAGAAAGCCGAGACCTGAGAAAAGTGACAAAACTGTTGTGATGTTGGTTTGGTTCCTAAAGTGAAGGAAGCCAGTCAAATAATAAAATCAGAGGGGATGAAGTTTATAATAAAAGTATTCAGGAAAGTTATGTGTCCTCAAAACATCTGCCTGGGAAACACAAGAACAATCTATTACCTTAGAGAAAGGAGAGGAAGGAAAGCTACTCGACTGACGACAAAAATAAGTGCTTTGGTGACTTCGAAGGAACAACCCTTACCACGTGGAAACTAGGTTCGTTCCCAGAAAGATAAGAACAAAGGAAGGCATAGGCCTGCTTTGAGCATGGGAATCAGAACTGGAAGGGAAAGCATGTGATGCAACTTGAAAGAGCAAAAAGGAAATTAAAAATGTTAAGATGCCCAACTAAAAGTGGGAAAAATTTTCCTTTGACTCACTCAGAAGGGAAATTTCTAAATAAATACAGAAGGCGTTTAACAATGTGTAGGCTGAGGAGAGA